GGGGGGGGAGGGAGGCAAGCCCTAAAAATAAGCCTAGATTACTGTGGCCAAGGCCTAGAAACCCAAAGAAATTTATAAGAATCAGGCAGCAGGCTGAATGAGTGTGGGACAGTGGTTCTAAAAGACATTCCAAACAAAAGCAGCAACAGACCACGGGAGGCTCAACTGCAGTTCGATGCTTATTGCTCTCTTGGCCATAAAATGGGACAGGACAAAGGGAGTGGCCAGATGTGGGGGGAATGGGATCGATGCAAATGTTTTAAGGGAAATGGAATTCCCCAAAATCTAGGGATCTTTTTAAAGCTACTGGTAAGACATCACCATTTGAAGTTTTAGCTTTTCAAAATAAATAAATTAAATAAATAAAACACAAAAGGAATGAAAAAGTAAAAACATAAAGTCCTAAACCTTGCTAAACTTTCAGGAAGAAGACACTAATAAAATAATAGATAACATAGTATGTAATTAGTAAAATAAAGAACAAATAATAGCTAAGTAATACAATAACTGGTACTTCTAATCTACATAACTTTGCCACTGTGCTTTCCCTGCTTTGCTAAAAAACATAAGGCTATTGTTACCGTGGAAAGAAAAACAACACATTACTCACCGCCAACCAGGATCTTCGCCCCGTCAGGGATATCTTTTACAGCTTCCACTGGATCTGTGTAAAACTTGGTATGGCGAGGCGTGCTGGTTGAAAAGTAGCAAACACGGCCCTAAAACATTGAAAAACATTTATAAGTGAATAATCATTTGGAAATATGTCTTTACATGTATAGCAATTTATTCAATTTTTATATGTACAAGGACAATTTCACCATGTCTTCTCTGAAAGAGTGGGGCTGTAAGTAGTTCATCTTAAGAGTGGAATGAACATACTCTATCCGGATTATCACCAGAATCCCTTCATGATCTATGTTTTCTATTATATAAGGAACAATTCTGTGATATCTGTGGCCACCCAAAAGTAGATGGCCACTAGGCTAGCACTCAAATTCCCAATAATGGCATCATCAAGCATCAATTTCTTATAGTAACCTAACCTTGCATTCAGTCAGCAAATACTGAGAACCTACTACATGCCATCTGCTGTGTTATTTATTGCAGTCTAGTAAGTATTAAGACATGATTTCTGCTCTCAGGGAAATTAAGTACAGCATGGCCAATACTACCCTGATCCAATAACATTGGGCAACAGAATGCCCCCTAAAGGAACAAGTAAAGAACAGCACACAAAATAACTACCCCCCTGTGGGGCTTGGCATTCACAGATGCTGTGGAAAAGTAGCAAATTGTTACCTGTGATGGAGGCATGGCTAGAATTACTGTTACCTCGTGAACTTTCAGTTTCTCTTTTTTAAATATGTTTTTAATGATTCGGGAGAGAGGATCACATTCAGTTTTAAACTGCTATGGCCTTTATATGTCATCCACAGTATGGACAGAAAAAAATCAGAAAGTCGATACGTTGCAAGCAATCCCTCATAGTCAATATCTCTTTTTAGATTATATTTAAAATCACTCCTTTATTCTTGTCAAATATTCAACCTAACAAAAGGGAGTAGAGAGAATGACACCTGACTGCGGAGACACTGCCACCTTAACAAGTCCTCTGCCAATCGGCCTCCCAGACAGACATCCTGATGGGGTCGAAGTAACAGCATAAGAGCATTTCAATCATTCCCTTCTTCCTCTAACAACTCTGTTCAGAAAGTCTCTATTAGTACAAAAGCCTATGTAGGAGAACTATACTGAAAGTCAAATGAGATTTGCAGAGGCAGAGGTCACACAGGTGACTTTTGTCCCTTTACGTTTCACCCGTGGTCAAGGTCAGGAAAGGAAGGAGGTAGACCTGGCAGGCTGCCCAAACACGGGGAAGTGGCGGCAGAGATAGAAAGGAAAGGCTCCTTACCTTCAAGTAGCAAGGAATTTTTAATTCTGTTTTAAACACACACATACACACAAATATATTTTTAATCTCGGAAATTAAAAGTTTGGAGCCTCAATAAACAGGTCAACAGAGCACAAAATGGAGTTGAGGAATCTCCTAGAAACAAGAGAAAAGCACACCGATACCTAATCCAAGCAATGCATTTTACAGGTCGGGTTTCTGAAGCTTAGGAAGATCTTGCCATTCACCCAACACTCCTAAGGCAAGACCAGGTCCCAGGTGTGGGCCTTCACGTGCCTCTCCGATCTTCTTCTAGTTCTATTGCATTATTTATACACAACCAATCTGTATGAGTGTCCTACTTTCTCATGAAGAAGTCTGCCGTCAATCCCCAGCAAAGGGGGAAGAGCCAGGGCCTTAACAGGAGGGAAGGAAGGAAATGAAAGAATTCGTCTACTGGGGGTGATGTCGTCCTGAACTATTTATCCACAGACTGAGAAACATGAGTCCTATAGAGAGGAAGTCAGAAGAAAACTCATTCCTTGTATAGACCCAGAGAGCTCTTGAGATTTAGGAGGACAAGCAAAGCCGGCAGCACAGACTGGCCAGGGATTCCATCCCCTTCTTCCAGAAGATGACCAGTGTCTTCATTACAGTCAGAAATCACCGAGGAGC